CCCCCCCCCCCCCGAGGTGCTTCATCCGCCTGCAAGAGTCGATACCAACTCGTACGTCAAGATACAGTGGGGGGCCGGGTTTCGCGACCCCTACAGTAGTGTCACAAGGAAATGTGGCCGCTATTCAGGGCAGGTCGCTGAACCGAAGTCACGATCATTTGGCATTGCACTTGTTCTACCGGGATGCGGCGGTACCTCGTGATTTTGTGGTCGCTAATCAGGGTGTGGCGCTAAACAGAGGGTCGCTAAAAACCGAGACCCCTATGCTGTACATACACACACCGAAGCGAAACCGAAAACGCCGATTTAACGCACACAATTTTTCTGGTCCGTCCTTCGGAGGACGCGTGGTCATCGATCTAACAACCAAGGCATGCAACACTCGCGTACGCCCCTGCCCCGCACCGTGCCCCTTACCCCGCGGCCACACGAAGCCCCTCCCGAGGTGCTTCATCTGCCTGCAGCAGATCGGGACCCTCAATCCCGAGACGGAGGCCAGACGGCGACAGTTCAGCCAACTCAAGGCGGGGGCCGCGGGTGCGAGAACTAGCTACAGGGGGGGTATCGGCGTGGGCAGCGGGGGGCACGAAGCGCCCGGCGGGGGGGGAGGTGCTGCTGCTGCGCTTGGCCAACAGGGGGCTCCGCAAGCTGCGTTGGATATATGGTGGAGCTGGTGCAACGTGTAAGTTACCGTGCTTCTTCCGTGTATGGCACTTTTTTTTTTTGGTTGATGATTCATCATGGCTGGGCTTGTTTCTTTGGCGGGGGGCAAGGCAGGCGATAGCCCCTTTGCTCCTGTTCAAAAAATATGCCACTTAGATATCTATGCCGTGCGACAGTGCTTGTTTTGCGTGTGCATGCCACGCGCGGTATGCGCCGGCAGCAAGGTTGATACGCCACATCAAGGTCGGTGCCTATATACTAGAGCCAGAAGTAGATGTGATGATTTCTCCGCACCAGGGCATCATTTCACTCTGTCCTGTAGTTGCACTTTCGTGTTTTATAGCGAGAATGTTACGCAAGATACCACACCCCCTCCGGACCGGTTTTCACAGCTCGATCACTCCACGATGAAGATAACGATGCCTAAATTGAAGGGATACGCTTGCGGGAAGCGCACTCGATGAGACGGCTCCGAAGCCATTTTTGCATCGCCACTCTTTCTGCTGCTGTGGAGATAATATATTGCTTTGAAAGGGGGGTGGTTCATATGTCACATACGGTACAGATGTGTTGCACGGAGACGCGTTTCCGTCGCGCTCGCTTTCCCGAACAACTTGTGGCATGCCGTATCGCTTTCTCACTCTGTTCCTCCGAACGTACCTGACGCGCACTGTCCTTCTGAATGAATCTGCCTGTGGTTTTACGCGAAATTTTATGCCAACAAAACAACCGCGGCTTTTGATTCGTTCAGGTGCAACCACGGCGGGCACAACGGGCACCTCGAAGATTGGTTCGCCGAGCACGACACTTGCGGGGTTCGGGGCTGCGACTGCAAGTGCACCTCCCACGACCTCCCCATCGTGTCCAAGATAGCGTAGGCCCTATACATAGCCCATCAGGAGTGTGTCTGTGTGCTCATAGTCGTGCATGCCGTAGTCGCTAGACTGTTGACCTCGGGTGGGGGGGGGCTTGTAACGCGTTCGACGTGCTCGTGCCTGGGCTTGGCTGAGTTGCGGTGAAAAGAAGCTCGTGTAGAAGACGATCCTCATACAGGTGCATCTGGCACCCGTCGATGCGTCACCTTGACCTCTCACCGGGGGGGTAGTTGGTGTGGTTGGCACTGCGGAGCCCCGGTTGTAACATAGGACCCGTGACATTTTGTCACTCGTGTGTCGTATAGCTACGCCTCTAGGTGCGCGGCAGTGAGCTTGTTGTTGTAGGTCCCATTTCGTGCTTTTTCCTTTTGGACGAACTCACGTTTTTGAAGCCTGCCACCGCAAGTAGCACGGGACTCGTTTTACGCCGTGATCGAACGAACAAGGGGGTGTCGCAGATCGCATCCCACAAGTGTAACGTAGGGAGGAATGAATGATGTAAGTCATCAATGACGGCAAGGTTGCTGCCGGCCGTTGGGGTGGCCAGATGATGCGAAACAAGGATTGATTGCCATAACGTGGAGGAGGTACTGCTGTAGGCCCCTTGGAATGATACGAAGAGGAAGGGGAGAGAAGATTGGCGACAAAAACAGAGGGGAAAAAAGCCTGTCCGTCCGTCCAACACACGCTCTTTTGTTGTTCGATTTAATTGTTCTGATTTCGTTTGTTGCTATCTTCTCGGCTTCTTGAGGGGGACCGAATCCTCGTTGCCCCCTCCCCCCGCAGCTCTTCTGCTACTACTAGTGCCTTCGCCGTCACCTCTCCGCAACTCTTCCGCGTATTCTCTGCGTGCCCCCCCGGCTGCGGTAGCGCTGCCGTTGCCGTCGTTAGCGCCTCCGCTGCTGCCGGAAGCAGCGGCAGCGGCAGCGGCAGCGGCAGCGGCAGCAGCAGCAGCAGCACCCGAAGAAGAGCTGGCGGAGGTAAGCGTGGCTACCGCGGCTGGTCGTCCCTCTCCACTCGCCGCCGGAAGCACGCCGTCTCCTCTTCTCCCGCTGCGGCTAGCGCTGTTGCTGCTGCTCTTGCGCTTGCTCGCGCCCATTGCCCAAGAAGAGGAGGATGAGGCCTCCAGCCCCTTGGAGGACATCTTCAGTTTTGCCGGCTCCTGCAAGGCAGTTGGTTCGTCGCGTGTGTTAAGTGTTGTTGCAGGCAAGGGGTGTTGGTGGTGATATTGTCACCAGAGAGGGTTAGTCGGCCGGTCCATGCAGCCATCAATGCCACGACTCTAACCCCCTCTGTAGTCGCCGCCCCCAACTTGTACAACATGAACCAGTACGTCATTAGAGCACTACGGTCGGGGAATATTCGCCTACGGGTGCAAGTATGGAGAAACACAACGGGCAAATCATCCCCATTCCACCCTCGAAGTCTCTTTCTCTCTTTCTCCCTCCCTCCCAAACTCTAGTTGAACTCTCGCGCACACGCCGGACAACTAGTTGAGTTTTTTGTTGTTATGTATCCAAACCGGGTCTGTCGTGGGAAAATCGGGGGCGACGCAGAAAAGAGGCTGGGGGCTTTCCCCCGGGCTGCTACACATATTTTTCTGCCCTTGAACAAAAAAAAACGCTCTTGAGCTATTATGGTCATAAATGGATGCGCCCTTCCCCGATGTGCACATTAGGATTCACTCGTCCCACTTAAACCGCTTCCCCTACCCAGAGTACGACACCCGATTTCACGGGCACTGCTGTAGCGGGAACGCGGCACTACAGAGGGCCCAATCTGACGACTGTGGCTGTACTGTGCGTGATCTGTCTCACCGGTCCATGTCGGGTGGGGAAGGTGGGCATGACGTCCTTGCTCTTTGGCAAGGGCTTGTTCAAGAAGTACTGGTGCCGCAGGGCTTGTCTGCACCAAAAAGCGCGAGGGAGGGAGATGGGGGAGAGGGGAGGGCAAGATGGCCACGAGAGAGGCCGAGAGAGAGAGAGACACGATAGGAAATGATGAGGAGGTATGTCATGACGCGGAAGGCCTGGTGATAGCAGTCAACGCAGAATACTGAACGGAGATAAAGGCTCCGAATCATGACGCGTGAAGAGGAAATCGTTTCATGACATAAAAGGCACCCAACACAAACCGATGGAACATGGGTTTAAATACATCAAAGAGAGCGGTTGGGACACACGCACACACGACACGGCGTTCGACAAACCTGCCCTGCAGCGCGGCGCAGAGATAATGTGGACGACAGACACGAACAACCGACGGCATGCCCCCCCCCCCCCCCCCCCCCCCCCCCCCCCCCCCCCCCCCCCCCCCCCCCCCCCCCCCCCCCCCC